TAAATTCACACCCTGCTTCCTGGTTTTCTTTCCCCTCTGTTTCCCTGCAGGAGCTCCCCTGTATTCAGTTCTTGTTCTGCCCCTGAGTGGTGTCATATAGGATGATGGTGATGATTCTGAATATTTCTCCTCCAGTCTGAATCTGAGCAGACCAACGCCACAGGCCAATCTCTCTGTCTCTGTCACATCTTCCCAGAAGCCTGGTCTACAGTTTAAACTCAGCTAGCTAAAATTAAGCTCAGTTCTGCCTGTTTCTTGTCCACAATTTGTCAGAGTCTTCAGAATATTTCCTCTTCCTGTCAGTGTCCTGTTGATTGCCTGGGTATGGCCTCAGGCAGCTGTTGACGATGTCTTGGGGAAGAGAGCTGGGAAGTGCATTCAGGGTCAGCCTTGGATCATCAGTTGTCCCAAGAGTTTGTATAATGTGTGGGAGAGAACAAAGACTTATGCAAACATATTGGGTTATGAACTTAGTGGTAGAGAAACAGTTGCCATAACAGTTTGCTGTGAGAGGATGGTCTGTGGGTTTAGGAGCACCTAACCTGTCTTGCTCTCTGTATAATGTCACTCTGAGATGACTGCTCATGAAGGAATATGTTCCATTTTAGGCATTGTGTTACCAAGGAGACATATTGGAAAGATTTAAAAAAACAGCTTTTGCTTAGTCAAGACATGCAGATTTAGCTGATTTAATCTTTTCTCATAAATAATTTCCTGCAGCAGCCCTACAGCTAATGGAGGAAGTGACAATAGCCTGCAAGCATTTGAACAATTGGAAACACATTGGGGCAGGGGTTTCTTACTGTTATAACTAGGGTCAGTGGGTTAAAGCTTAGAGGACGGGGATATATGGGCTATATTCCATGATAAATGTCATTACAGTTGAACTTGTTACCCTGTAGAATAATTCTTAATAAGTGAAGTGGAAGCTGGCTTAATACCAGACTGGATGGGGCATCAGTGTGAATGCTCCCAGGCCAAAAGATCCACTGCTTCAGTGCCAGTATCACTTCACCTCACCTCCTCAGCATGCTTGCTGACAAACCAGAGTGCACTGGCTGAGAAAATAGCCACCCTTGCCTGCCTCACCTCCCAGACACCAGGGCTGCTCCTTAGCAAACAGCCTTTGGTGCCATCCTCCAGTAACCACTGGGTATGGCTGCCAGCACCCAGCCATCAGTCAGGCTCAGCTGCAAACTGATTGGAGATGCATGTGTTTGGGTGAAGCCCAAGAGAAGATTGATTGAGTTTGGGGGCAGTGATAAGCTGAAGCAGTGATGCTCACCTTTTGGTCCCATGGGCTAAATCAGTGTTGCAGAGCCAGTCCATAGGGTGGATCAGTCCCCACGCCCCAGGATTGGGCCCACAGGCCTGGATCCAGACTGTACTACCTGTCCAGCCATGTGTGCAGGGATTGGGGCCTCACACAGCCTCTGCCTGGCTCTGCACGCTGGGATTGGGCCCCCCTGCTGCCCTACATGCTGGATCTAGCACACAGGGCCATGGCCGGCAGGGCTTCTCACAAACTGATGGCAAAGCGCCAAGGGTCAAATCTGGCCTGTGGGACAGGGGTTGAGCACCCTGGGTGACAGCTAAGACTGGTGTGGGAGGGTACAACATGGCTAGGTGAGGGAAAGAAAGTCTGTGTGGGAGAGGGGAACAGGTGGGGAGCTGGTTCATTCCTCTGATCTATAGGAATCTCTCTAGAGCTCAGTTCTTTTCTAGTGGCATGCCCCTTGTTGGGTTACAGCAGCTGGCAGAATTGCATAGTGTTCAGGTTACAGGAAAGTCTAGGTCTCTTTAAATTTGTTTTTGCTTCAAGTCTTATTGAAGTCAAATCTTTTAGAACTTGATGGTGAACCAGAATGAAGCTCCTCTTGCCCCTCCCATAGCTGTGCTGTGAATTTGAAGTTCTTGACAAGAACCATTGTACGCTAGGCACTCCATAGTTTCCCCTTTGGAATGAAAAAGATTGACCAGTTCTGCCCCTGTTCAGCCCTTGCCTTGTTGTCTTCTGCCCATATTTTTTCATGGAAACCCTTACACGGTCCCACTCACAGCCTCTTCCTTGCTTTCGTGGTAGACCAGAAAGCTCCATCCCCTCTTCCTCAAGCCTGGCCCTGCTTTCCCCATCCATGCCCTCTGGAGGAGGTGGGCTTATCTGTAAGGAAGCAGCTGAGGAGCAGAGGGGCAAGCTGCTTAATACCTGAGCTTGGCAGTAGGTGATGAATAGGTGAACGGTTTGTCAGCTCCCTTGGGCTCATTCTGCAAACTGCCCCGTTCCACAGCTCTTGTTACAGAGCTCCATGTGCCTGCAAGTAAAACTGGGCTCATGTTCAGTCCCACCCTCTGCCAAATGTTATATCTTTGGTGACAGAAAAATTAGAAAGATGCTGGTGTCTTTGGAAGAGGTAGATGGCAAGACCAGATTCAATGGTCATAGTGGGAAATGGATTAAAATGCTTCAGATGCAAATCTTTTTGAACCTTAATTATGTCAGTGCTAACATGTATTCATTACACATAATAATGTAAGAACCACCATTTACTGGGGAAGACCATAGGATACTCTCGGCCAGTATCTTCTGTCACAGAGTGACACACAGTAGATGCTGAAAGGGAGAGCGAGCAAGGTATGACCAGGGATTTCCCACTGTTCCTCTGCCACTTTCAGCCTCCAGCATTTAAGGTCTAGGAAGTTCTGGTTTAGAGGCCATACCCCTAACTCCCATGCTCAATAACTACTGATGCAGCTTTTTCTCCAAGTATTTGTCCAATCCCATTTTTAATCTGACTAAACTGTCAACTTTCACATTTTGTGGCAGTGAGTTCCACACTTTAATGATACACTGTGTTAAACAGAACTTCCTTTTGTTCATTTTAAACTTACTACCTGCTAGTTTCATTTTGTGATCCCTAGTTCTTGTATGGCGAAAGAGAGTAAATAAATTCCTCTTTACTTTCTCTTTGCCATTTACTATTTTGTAAAGCCTTATGTAATGTAGACTGGTGCTGGAATGGCAAAGTCACCCCTTCTGCCTTCCACCTGGCCCCCACTTTGTTGCCTACCTTTCAGGGTCCCACCTCATCATCTTGCCTGCAGTGCCTTGATGTTATGATCTGACAGGGAGCCTGCCCCTAGAGGGCAAAGGTGGTTTTGGGTAGTAGGTCTGGCCTGAGGGCCCACGCTCTTGATCCACTTTATCTGCGTCCCTCCGTCTACTGTACCAGGACCCTAAGCTGCTGGGCCCCTAGTCTTGCCCCTCACAGGCTCTGGGCCCCTTGGCCCCTGGTCTTGCCCCTCATGGGCCCCCAGGCCCAGTCTTTGCTGTCTGGTACCACAGTCCCCCAGCAAACAGCAGCACTTCTAAAGTATTTGGGCTTCTTCTTCCACACAGCCCACCAGGTCCTAGACCCTGGAAGGGCTTTACACTAGGTGTCCTTGCAGCATCCCTGTAGCCTCCTTTCTACCCTATCAGCCACACTCAGTCTTCCGGTATTCAAACACAGTGAAAAATATGAGTATCCTCTCGCCCGCAAAAAGGGTCCCCATCCACTCTTATTAATCTGCATCGTTTTGTTTCCCTTTTTGACAGCTGCTGAGTACTGAGCTGATGTTTTTAGTAAACTGTCCACAACGACTCTTAGATCTTCCCTGCATGGTAACAGCTCATGTAGAGCCCATCATAGTGTAGAAGTAGTTTGGGTTATCTTTGCCTATATGCTTCACTTTACACTTATTTACATTGAATTTCTTCTGCTATTTAGTTGCCCATTCACTCAGTAGTACCAAATCCTTCTTCAGTTCTTTGCAGTCTGCCTTGGTCTTAACCACTTTTGAATAATGTCGTTACCTG